TACTTTTTTTTTTAATCGGCAAACATAAGATTCAACACCTCAACTTCAAGTTATTCATGCAGAGACATATATCCATGAGATTATAATTATTGTATATGCATATCAAGAGATACATAGACTGCCAAGTGTAGCACAGGGAACCATTTACAAAATGTATTTTTGCAACAAATTTAAAATAACTATATAACATTAGCAGAATGAACCATTAGGACTATAAATCAATCATCAACGTAATAACCACACAACATTATCCTATCAAGCCATGAACAATTATATAACGCACCCCAACGTCGAAGTCCCAGTGGTTGAATAGCTTGACATCATAGTCTCGAACAGTTTCTATTACGGGAGCCATAGCAGTTTCCATGCCTATACATAGACACTGTAAAAAAGAAAGCAAGCAGCAGCAAGAGCAATGTTAAACTATGACCTATTGCCTCAACACCATAGAAATTATTAATTTGGCACAAAATTATCTCAAGATGCAGCACATGGACCAAGTAGTTAGCATCAACTACGTAAATAGAGAATTTACAAGCTCCATCATTTTCTTGGCAACCAAACAGAAAAGAATTCAAGCAGTTGAGAGATTTAAAGCCTGCCTTCACCAATCTGCAACCATTTCTCGGCAACCAAACGGAAAATAAACTACCTCCTAACACAAATATGAGACAAAATAAAATCTATATGCATGAAAAATTCAGCAAATCAAAGCAACAAACCAGCAACGAACACGGAGCGTGAAGAAAACCTTAGTAAGAGGAGAGCTGAGGGCGGAGAGCAGAGGGAGGGGAGAATGTAGAAGCTACGCCTGCGCTACCTCTTGGTGAGTGTTGGAGTTGAAATGGAGAGAGGAACCCTAGATTAGGGTTTACATGATAAGGAGAAAAAAAAATACAGGTTTTCCGTCCATGCCAGCCCGCCCATACTAAAGTTTTACGGATTTAAAGCCCAGTAGTTTTGCAGGCTAGACTTGGAAAAGGGCCGCTGATCTGACCCATTTTATTAATTTTTTTAAAATTTTAGTTGTCCCATCCTATAAATTTTTTTTTATTTGAGTCCCATTCTATATATTTTTTTTATTTGAATCCCATCCTATATATTCCATCTTATAAGAACAAGGGGAAACTGATCATACTAACTAAAAAGGTTTTCCAAACAAAATTAGGGATAGGTAATTGCACCCACGAAGTTGGGACATTCCCGTTCTTGCAAATTGCTGAGGTAATTATCCATATGGGGATTTTGTATGGAGGCAAATTTTTGCGAGGATCTTTTACCTCCACAATCTATATTATATCATTAATTTAACTTTTTTTATTTTATTATTTTTTATTTTAAAACAAAATAAAAGTAACCATTAGAAATTGAGAATTGACATTAGTCACAAAAAGAAAATGATATATCTTGAAATCTATCTTTTAATCAAATAAAAAACTTTACTTGAATCATTTTGAATATTCTGTTCTCATCCCACTATTAATTTTTTAAAAGATCTATATTTTGTTTATCCAAATTGTTCAAACCACAAGTAAAAAATTGAGAATCTTTAACTTTTCAAAACTTACCATCTAAATGATTAGAAGACAAATATAAATTGTACATCTATCATTTGTATAGAGAAGTCAATATTGAAAGACAACATATGATTATTTTCTAATTATTTTGCTTTTTTTTATTTGATTAGTTTTAGTAGAATGACTTATTTTTTGGGGAATATATTTTGAAAGATTTATTTAATTTTTTCTTCACAGATAATTGTATATAGTATACAATACTTGATTTATAAATTTTAAATAAATATAATTAACCCCTTTCAAAAAGTTTTATAAATTGTAATGGTCACCATCATATTAAATTTCTTTTAAAATATGTGTTTAAGTTATTTTGGCTTAAAAAATTATCTTATAAAAATATTTTTAAAAAAAGTTTTAAAAACAACCAAGTCAATCTGTGAACTTACAGGTTGACCTATATTTGACTCGTGATCCATTTCAGGTTGACTTGAACAGGTCACAGGTTCAATACTACTGGACTCTAACTTGCTTTTTATAGTTGAGTTAATGAGTCAAATGTAAATTTGTCACTATTAATGGAAGATAATTTTTTTTTATCTCTTAACTTATTCCATTTATATGTCATACAATTTGAACCTAAATATCTCTTATTTTCAATGGAAGAAGATTACCACCAAAAAAAGATTACTATTGAAAGAAGATTACTATTGAGTTATTTAGATCATTGGCTCATTTTACTAATTTAGTTGTTTTAAACCAATTATAATTGGTAAGTAATATCTAATAGCTAATAATATTTAAATCGTAAATAATAATAACAAATATCAATCATTAGAGGTTTCGTTTGAATTATAAATAACAAAAATCTTAATCATTAAATATCCTCCATCATAAAAACAGTTTAGAACAATCAAACCGAATAAATTTTTTTAACCTTTACTAACTATCATCCCCCATCCTAGGTACCTTCGTGTGTTTTTTTTTT